GGTGTACAGGCAGCTCAGTAAGGCCGTGGGACACGAGAGGGGCGGGGGGGGAGGGACGCCTGTCTTGTTATATATTTAATTATATTTAATTAATTAATTAATTAATTAAATTATTTATTTATTTATTCTTTTTTTCTTCTTATAAAGGAAGAAGCAATAAGCACGACAAATGAGGACACGGGGCTGTCTGCCGCCGGCGTAGCACGAGCAGCGGCAGCAGCAACAGCAGCAGCAGCAGCTGTAGAAGCAACGAGAGCAGCAGCAGCAGCAGCAGCAGCAGCAGCAGCAGCAAGGGAGGCTTATGTCTGTCTGCTGTGTTTTTTTAACTCCTTAGGTTTCTTCTGTTTGACTCATAGTGGCTTTTAGTGTATTAATACAGCAGCAGGAGCAGCAGCAGCAACAACAGCAGCAGCAGCAGCAGCAACAGTAGCAGCAGCAGCAGCAGCAACAACAACAGCAGCAAAACGGGCTGCAGCAGCAGCAGCAACTGTCTCCTTTTCTTTATCCTTATTAATCCTTTTAGTATTAATTCTCTTAACAAAGGAGACACTTTGCTGCTCGCACCTCCTTCCCTGCACGGCTTCCCTTGCAGCCGTGCTGCTGCTGCTGCTGCTGCTGCTGCTGTTCTTGCCATTGCTGCCATTGCTGGCGTTACAACTTATCTCTTTTGCTGCAGCAGCATCAACAGCAGCAGCAACAGCAGCAGCAACAGCAGCAGCAGCAGCAGCGGTAATATACATTACCGCCAGATCCTAGGCAGCAGCACAGCACGCGCCAGGAGAAACATACAGTGGCAACAATAGCAGCAGCAGCAACAGCAGCAGCAGCAGCAGCAGCAGCAGCGTCAGCTGCTGCAGCAGTGCGATATACAACTGCAGCAGCAGCAACAGCAACAGCAGCAGCAACAAAGACACAGGAGCAAGTGGTGTCTTTAATACCTCCTCCTTTGGTAGCTGGGGTCCTATTGCTGTCGATGCAGGTATGTCTGCTGCTGCTGCTGCTGCTGCTGCTGCTGCTACTGTATGTTCTGTTGTTGTTGCTGCTGCAGTTGTTATTGTTGCTGCTCCTTCTGTTGTTGCAGTTGCTGCTGCTGCTGCTGCTGCTGTAGTGGATTAACAGCTGCAGCAGCCACATTTGAGCCGATAGCTGCTGCTCTCTTGTCTGCGTATTAACATTTGTGCATTTTGCTGCTGCTGCTGCTTCTGCTGCTGCTGCTGCTGCTGTTGCTGCTGTTGCTGCTGCTGCTGCAGCTAAGAGATCTAAGGATTACTATCAGCTACTTGGCGTTAAGAGAAACGCAAGTCAGAGGGCTATAGACAAGGCAAGCAGACCTAAACCCTAAACCCTAATTCTAACCCTAAACCCTAAACCCTAGCTCCAGTCACAAACCCTAAACCCTAAACACTAAATTGGCGACATTACTGCATTGATAGGGTTCTCTGACACTTCCTTTACGTACTACCTTACTTACCCTTAGGGTTTAGGATTAGGGTTTAGGGTTTAGGGCTTAGGGTTTAGGGTTTAGGGTTTAGGGTTTGTGGCTACAGGCATACCGTAAGCTCGCAAAGAAGCTTCATCCTGATGTTGCTCCTGGCAAGGAGAAAGAGTTTATGGAGATCGCCAAGGCCCATGAGGTACTAATTAGGGTTTAGGGTTTAGGGTTTAGGGTTTAGGGTTTGGACATTATATCTTGGGGTTATTACCGCATGCAGTCTTGCACAATCAAAATGTTTATAGATGTTGAATTAGAACAACCTATTATAGTGTTTAGGGTTTAGGGTTTGGAAATTAGGGTTTAGGGTTTAGGGTTTAGGGTTTAGGGTTTATATATTTAGGTATTAAGTGACCCTGAACAAAGAAAGAAGTATGATACATTTGGGGAAGAAGGTGTTGCTGCATTCTCTGGTGCACAAGGAGCAGAAGGAGGCTTCCCTTTTAGTGAATTCGTGTAAGAAACCCTAAACCCTAAACCCTAGATAGACCCTAGATAAACCCTAGATAAACCCTAGATGGTGAATAATATATAGAGGACGAATGGTAGATGTATTGTATGTATTTATTGTTATTGTATATTATTATTGTTTGTTGTTAATATAATTAGGGTTTAGGGTTTAGGGTTTATATGTTTATATATAGGAATCTATTTGCTGGTGGTGGTGGTTTCGGTGGTGGAGGAGGTGGGGGCCCCCAGGGGGGCCCCTCCCGCATGCGTTTTGAATTTAGTGGTGAGGTACCTGAGTACCTAAAGGGTTTTGGGTTCGATTTTGGCGGGTCCAAGCATCAACAGCAGCAGCAGCAGCAGCAGCAGCAGCAGCAGCAGGAGGAACAGGAGCCAGACTGGGATGCAGATCTATATACAGATATAGATTATGTTGAGGAGCTAAACCCTAATAATTATGAACGTTTTATGCAAGAAAGAAATAATTTACTTCTTATTGTTATTTATAATCCTCATTGTAATCCATGTAGAATATTCAAGATGGAATTCGCTACTGCTGCACAGAGGCTTCATAATGTTGTACCTGTAAGGGTTTAGGGTTTAGGGTTTAGGGTTTAGGGTTTAGGGTTTAGGGTTTTTAGGGTTTGGAGGGGGGGGATGGTCGATTTAGAGGTAATATTGTATAGTATATGGTGGGGGGATTGATGACGGTTTATGGGTAGGTAGGGGTGTATATATATATATAAATTGTATATATACTGTTGGGGAATTAGGGTTTAGGGTTTAGGGTTTAGGGTTTAGGGTTTTGGGGTGTATATGTGTACAGTTTGCTGCTGTAAATTGTCGTAGTCATCGGCAAATACCTTTATGTCGTAAAGGAAAAAGATATCCAACTGTCTTCTTCTTTGGGGAGGATAAAGAGGCAGAACCTATTGTATACACAGGGAAAAGGTATAAAAACCCTAAACCCTAAACCCTAAACCCTAGGTCTCTCGACGTGCTCTCTATAAAAGGGTTTTCAAGGGTTGCAATTCTTATATAGCAACTACCAAACCCTTACACCATCATAAGCCCTTTTTACATACTCACCCTTATTATTAGGGTTTAGGGTTTAGGGTTTAGGGTTTAGGGTTTAGGGTTTAGGGTTTGTGTTTCAGGAAGTTTGAGGATATTCTTGCATTTATAAGTGAGAGGGTTTCTAAGTATACAACTATTCTTAGCATGGATAATATGGAGAATTGGCTAACTAGCAACCCTAATAAATCCAAAGTACGAGGGTTTAGGGTTTAGGGTTTAGGGTTTAGGGTTTATGGGTGTATAATATTGAATGGGTATAGAAGATGTAGTGGATAAATTTACGAGTATTAATTAAATATAGGGTTTAGGGTTTATATATAAAAAATAATATAGAGAAAAGTATAAAAATAAGGGTTTTTATTTTTTTTTAATTTTTTTTTAGGGTTTAGGGTTTAGGGTTTAGGGTTTAGGGTTTTGGGGTGTATATACTACGCAGGTGTTATTATTTGCACGAAAGAAGCCAGCCCCCCCTGAATGGTTTATTGGGGGTTTATATTTTAAGAATAAAATAGATATAGGTATAATATATCCAATAGAGAAGGAATTAATAGATAAATACATAAAAGAACCAACAAAATATAATAATATGCATGCAAACCCTTATTTACTAAACCCTTCTTTTTTATTAATTAAGGATGTAGATACACTCCAAGGGGAATGGACTAATCTTAGGGGTTTAGAGCCTCATAAATTTATTTCTTTATTAGCTTCTGTTGTTAATCAAGTAAGTTACTCTTTTTTATTTATTTATTTATTTATTTTATTTATTTATTTATTTATTTATTTTATTTATTTGCTTATTTATTTATTTATTTTTATTTATTTGCTTATTTGTTTATTTATTTATTTATTTTATTTATTTGCTTATTTATTTATTTATTTATTTTATTTATTTATTTATTTATTCTTTATCCTTTTTCTTTCTTTATTCTTTTTTGTTTCTTTTTCTTATTTATTCTTTTTTTCTTTTTTATATGTATATGTATATTCTTAGGTCTGCGTATATATTATGTATATTTATATTAC